CACAACAGACTTTGTCATCTGACCAATCACAACAGACTGTGTCATCAGACCAATCACAACGAACTGTATCATCTGACCAATCAGAACAGACTGGGCCATCAGACCAATCAGTCTGTTGTGATTGGTCAGATGACTCAGTCTCTCCTGATTGGTCTGTTGTGATTGGCCCTACTCTACTATGATTGGTCTGATGGTCCGATGTGTTCTGAATTGGTCAGATGACACAGTTTGTTGTGATTGGTCAGATGACAGTCTGTTGTAATTAGTCAAATGACATAGTCTGTTCTGTCTGGTCAGATGACGTAGTCTGTTGTGATTGGTCAGATGACAAAGTCTGTTGTGATTGGTCAGATGACACTGTCTGATGTGATTGCTCAGATGACACAGCCTGTTGTGATTGGTCAGATGACACAGTCTGTTGTCATTGGTCTGATGACAGTCTGTTGTAATTGGTCAGATGACACAGCCTGTTGTGATTGGTCAGATGACAGTCGGTTGTGATTGGTCAGATGACACAGTCTGTTGTGATTAGTCAGAGGGCCCAGTCTGTTCTGATTGGTCACTGACCATGTCTAAGTCACCTGACCAATCACAACAGGCTGAGTCATCTGTCCAATCAGAACAGACTGGGCCATCAGACCAATCAGTCTGTTGTGATTGGTCAGATGACTCAGTCTCTTCTGATTGGTCTGTTGTGATTGGCCCTACTCTGCTATGTCTGGTCTGATGGTTCGATGTGTTCTGAATTGGTCAGATGACACAGTTCTTTGTGATTGGTCAGATGACAAAGTCTGTTGAGATTGGTCAGATGACAAAGTCTGTTGTGATTGGTCAGATGACAAAGTCTGTTGTGATTGGTCAGATGACACAGTCTGTTGTCAATGGTCTGATGACAGTCCTTTTGTCATTGGTCAGATGACAGTCCGTTCTGATTGGTCACATGACAGTCTGTTGTGAATGGTCTGAGGGCCCAGTCTGTTCTGATTGGTCACTGACCATGTCTAAGTCACCTGACCAATCACAACAGGCTGAGTCATCTGTCCAATCAGGACAGGTTGGGCCATAATGAACCAATCAGAGCAGAGTAGAGCCATCTGACCAATCACAACAGACTAGGCTATCAGACAAATTAGATCAGAGTAGGACCATCTGACCAATCACAAAATATTGGACCATTGGATATATCACAAAAGACTATGTCATCTGACCAATCACAACAGACTGGGCCATCGAACCAATCAGAGCAGAGTAGGGCCACCTGACCAGTCACAACTTACTGGGCCATTTTACCAATCACTACAGACTGTGTTAGCTGACCAATGACAACAGACTAGGCCATCAGACCAATCAAAACAGACCGGGCCATCTGACCAACCAGAGCAGGTTAGGATCAGTGAGAGGCGGGCTTTAGCAGATACTGCAACAAACATTTTTTCAGACACTGTAGAGCAGAGCTAATGGCATTATGAGAAAATGAAAATGTTTTTGACCCTGGATGCGTGTCAACATATTGTAGGAGACCAACAAAACAAAACTAGCTAACTTTAAAATAGCTTAACAGAGGAAAATGAGAGCGTACAAGCTGGAATGACACCAAGGTTGAGTAAATAAGGCTGTAAGATTATAATTTTGTTCAGGGTTTAACTATAGCTGTAATGCATTTGTGTCTTCTGTCAGTGCTTGACATGCATTCAGAGTTTCCTCCGGTGAAAGCAGACCGATCTTCCACGTGTCAGCAGAACTTTTAAGGAGGCAAATTGGCTCGGGCTTGCTCAGCTCGTTTGTGTTGGGAGTATTTGCATAAATCTCAGCGTATCGACAAGAGAATGGGTTTAATTTTAAAAGCACTGCCTCGCAAGACACACAGCCTTTTCATAAAGAAGTCATAAGTTTGGAGAACAAAAATAAATAAATAAATAAATAAATAAAGCAGGCGATGCTAACAAGCTAACGCGTTTTATAAAAGAACACCATTAGTGCGATTTCAGAAACAAAGCTGCGGGTTAGATCCGTCTGTGTTAGCTCAGTTAAAAGTGGGCTGCAGGAAAATGAATGAAGGCTATAGCAGAAGCTAATTAACACTGGTGCTGAGAATAAACGGTCGTTCTGTCCACACTTTCAAAAGCAGCTGTCAGACTGCCTTTCAATTACAGCATTACAATAATTGAAAATAATTGTGAACATCATTAGTGGGAAAACTTCAATAATAAGCCCTTTTTTGGATTATAATTGTACTTTTGCTGGCGGAAAGGTCATCTTTAGACTCTCCCAGCCTAACTTCGCATGAGAAAGCTGTTGTGAATATGTCAGATTACTGAGATTAAACCCTTCAGGAGGACGACGGGTTCCTGATAATTCTTCTATTTGGATTAGAGGACGGGCAGTTTGGTGAGAACTAGAAGTGGCTTTTCTATTGACAACCTTAAGATTTTATTTTATTTTTTAATGTTTTATTTATACATTGTGAAACATTACAAAAATGTACAAAGACATAAACATGTAACAATAAGCAAATACACTGAAGAGTATTGTGAGCAAATAATAATAATAAAAATAAATAAATAACAATAAGATAACAAAAATAAATAGATAAATAAAATAAAAAACAACAACACTAGTGCAATCTTATATGCAGAAAAAACAAGTCTACAATGTGTATGTGTATTATTATTATTATTATTATTATTATTATTATTATTATTATTACTTGTCCTCTCCCTGATTTCCCATCGTCCCCTCACCTCGACACCTTTGTCATAAATGGTATTACTTTTACTTTTTGTTATCATTATTATTATCACTGTTCTGACTTGTCCTGTTATCATTTCATTATC